CCCCATTTGCCAGTAGTTGTACCATGCCTGGAGTCAAATTGTTTCCAAACTTGTTGAATGGTTTCCCTTCTTTCCTTTGTTAAGTGTAGTAAGATTTAAGATTTGAGCAGTCCTTCCATGAATAGACATTCTTTGTAAAGTACTCTACTTTAGCCCCTCTTACCTCAAATCAGTAACACATATTACAGGAACACAAAAGATGCCACATCCCGTAGCTGCTCATTGCATCCTCACGGTCAGTTTGAAGTCTAGGTCACTGGACAGGGTCACAGGCAACACACTGTGTGATTACATTGTCTTATTTCTCCTTTCGTCTGTTTTGGGACAGACACTCCCTGGGGTCTTCTCTGAACAACTCCTGTTTTAGGAGGAAAAATGCCAAGACACAAGTTGAAGTTCAAATATGAAATCACCAGCAGAATAGTTTTGGCATCAAATCCACTATATCAGACAATCTCCCGACAGTAAACAAATGGCCTATTCAGAGTAGGAAAATTTGAGGACACCTTTTTCACAAGGAGTGGTATAGTAACCAAGAGTTTAGTGACAGCTGAGCACTGCTACCAGGAGGCTTTAGAGGGATAAGAGGGAACAGTCACCACCACCCTCACATCACAGGCCATAGTGAGAAAAGAGGTGATCTTGGCTGAGGGACACAGCCAGCTGATGGGTATCGAAAACAGGCTTCAATAACCCTAAATTACTGTAGGCTGATCAGGCCCGCAATCTCCCAAGCGAGTGGACCGTGAAGGCTTAAATAAATGAGACAATGGAAACGATCTCAGGGCTCCAGGAGGGACTAACTCTCTTACAGTTTCGGTATTCTCTGAGTTTAGCCAGACTGCTCTGGGAGGCCCGTATTTATTTGGTTTTCAAACAAAGGAAGAGGATACTCAAGAAAACGCAGGAATCTTGTAGAACCTTGGGAGAATTTTCCCAAGTAGTAAATTATGTCAATGAGGAGAACTACCTTATCTTTAGGTTGGTATTTATTGTAGGAGTGTGGGGACTGCAGCTGCCGTCTCCTTGTTGCTGATTGGGGTTGGGGCCAAATGTCCTCCGCTGCAGTCTCCTTGTCCTTGAGGTATCACAGCTTCACAGGCCAGTACAGGCCTCAGCGGTGACCAGTGACCCATAGAGATTTATTTACTATGGGTCAACTGCTCATCTTTAGACAAGGTGCCTAAGCTTCAGACAACTCTCAAGTAAACATGAAAAGCCAATTGGTTAATATTAATCCTGCTCACAGCCGTTTCATAGTGGTCTCCGTCAGATGGGGAGAGATAAACACTGGACCTCACTCTCCTCGCTCCCTCAGTCACCTGCTGGCGTTTCAGCAGGATGACAGAAGGCTGGGGAGTCCTTGGATGTGGACCTCACAGGTCAGCCTCACAGTGCAGAGGGCAGTGAGGGCCAGGGAGAGGTGTGGAGAGACACAGTAAGGGCAGGGACACAGTCCACCCCTGGGGCCCCTCACCACCAAGCCTAGACCTTTGTCCAGGTGAGGAGCCTGTCTCCCCAGTCCAGGGCATCTGTAAGTCCCACCAGGTATCATGTCCTTGTGGGATGATGGCAACTGGTCATACTCAGCTGAAACCACTGGTGCTCCTCAGATAAGGTAATAGTGAAAGGGGGTGCTAGGGACTGAACATTTGTGCCTCTCCCTACATTTATATGCTGAAATCCTAACGCCCCCAGGTGCTGGAAGTAGGAGGTGAGGCCTCTAGAGGTAATTCTGGCATGAGGGTGGAGCCCTCCTGAATGAGGTTAGTGCCCCTGTAAAAGAGGCACCAGAGAGATCCTTTGCCTCTCCTACTATAGAAAGGCATATAGATCCAAGACAAACCCTTTCCAGACACTGAAGGAGCTTGGGCCTTGATCCTGGACTTCCCAGATTGTAGAACATAAAAAATACATTTCTGTTGATTACAAGCAACCCAGTTTATAGTGTTTTGTTATAGAAGCCCAAATGGATTAAGAGGGGGAGGAAAAAAAATAAAGCTCATAAAGTGTAGCTGCTATAGTACCCCCTTTTTAGCTGACCCTCTGACTCAAGGTAGTGTGTCAGTTTTCTCCCCCGTGGAGGTGCCCTCCCCAGTATAGTGTACTCCTTGGAAAGAAGTCACTATGTGCAGCCCACGCTTCAGGTGCAGGGACAGCTCGAGGTTGTCAGCCTGGCTGTGTACGGCTCGGCTCCCCTCTCCCCTGCTGCAGAGTGCTGCTTCTTTCTCACCAGTGTGCTGTGACTAACAGACAAGGCAGGGCTGAGCATTCATCCCATGCTGCCATCCTACAGCTGCTTCCCAGGTTTAGCTATTGTGGCCAGGCATAGTGGCACACACCTGTAATCCCAGAACTAAGACAGGAGAATCACTGCAAGTTGGAGGCCTGCCTGAGGTAAACAGAGTTTACTACCAACATAGTGAGACTCTGTTTCAAAAAAAAAGATTTAGCTACTGTGCATTGTGCTGCTGTAAACATGGGTATGCGTGCATTGCTGTAATATGATGTCTTTAACTCTTTCAGGAAGATGTGCAGAAGGAGGAATAGCTGGGTCAAATGGAATTCCTATTTTTAGTTTTTTGAGCAATCTCCATACGATTGTACTAGTTTACATTTCTACCAACAATACAGAAGGCCAGCATTATTTTATTTTCTTTTTTTTGGGTACTGGGAATCAAACTCATGATCTTGAGCTTGCCAGGCAGGTGCTGTGCCGCTGAGCTATATCCATGCCCCAGCATTTGTTATTATTTGATTTTCTTTTTTGTCTTTTTGAGACAGGGTCTTGCTATGCAGTTCAGGCTGGCTTTGTAGCTCAGTTTGTAGCCCAGGCTGGTCTCAAGCTCCCAATAATCCTTCTGCCTCTGTCTTCTGAGTGCTGGGATTACAGGCCTGTGCCACGACGCCCAGCTTTAATTTTAATTTTTATTTTTTTTGAGACAAGGTCTCACTATGTAGTGTAGGCTGGGCGTGAACTCGCCTATGTAGCCCAAGCTGGCCTCAGATTCACAGTGATTCTCCTGCCTCAGCCTCCCAAGTCCTGGGATTACAGGCATGTGCCACCACACCTGGCTGACTCACATCTGTTTTAAAACCATTTTTAACTTCCAAATAAGGACAACAGCCAAATCATCCTTCTGATGAACACACTCCAAGTTCTATCAAAAAATTAGAAGCATGCTAAACTCCATAGAAGAGGATACCAACTCCTGCATGTCACTTAATCTTCAGATGACGTTAAAGACTTCTAGCTCCATCAAAACCCTCTTTGACTAAAAAGTTAACCTCCATTTATATAGCCTGTCTTTGTTGATAGAAGAATGGAAGGGGAGAGAGACAAATTGTTTAATAAATAAATAATTAGAACTATAGTAGTGATCATCTTTACAATCGGCTGTATGGTCAAAAATGGTTTTTACAATGTCCATTCCACATTGTTTTAATTACTTGCTGGTCCTGATTCCTTGCCTATTGGAATGACCCTAAACTTGCTTCCTGAAGGGTCAGGGCTGTTAATAGATTAGCCTACCCAAAGTTGTTTTTTTCCATTAATTTTTATCATATTATAGGGTAGCCCCAGAGGATTTTCCTATTCTCATTTTGTTCTCACAACTCACTTTTCAAATCAGAATCATCACAATGTAGTGCTTTGCCTGTTGGTCCATTAGCTTTAGAAGTCCAAAGTAGATAGGGGCATTCTCAATTTCAAGTTTCCTGGAACTGTGGCTGAGCTCCTCAGTGGGGCCTCTCTCTGCTGGGAGACCAACAGCCCAAAGTTACCTTATGGCTTGAACCAGGAAATACAGTTCGTAATTGGCAGTTTCAGGACGTTAAGTTGGTAGTTGTTACGGTTTACATCTAGATGTTCTCCCAAAATCTCACGTGCTCATAGGTGGTTTTGAAAGGCGACTGGATCATGGGAACCCTATAGCTAATTAGATGTGGGGCCTGGTCAGAAAAGGGTGGGCCGTGACCTATCTTCCTCCTGGCTCCCTAACTCCAAAACTGCTTACCCATCTCCTCTACAGCAGCACTTGCAGCTATCTGCTGACCCTAACCAAGGTCACAGTCTATCTTACTTTTTCTCTGTAAGGTTAACTTTGTACCTATTTGGGGGTGGTGTTTCTTGTCCAGGCTTGCCTGGAACTCCTGGGATCCTCATCTCAGGCCAGGTGTGCTCCATCATCCTTCAAGGCCAAGCTGTAAGATTAGTTTTACAATTTGATGTGGTTGCTCCAACTGTTGACAACTATCCTTCCTCCACCCGTCTTCGCAATTGTTGAACAAAACTGTTGTGTACACTTATCTCTAGACTTTCACAAGTCTATCCTCTGCCAGTATCATACTGACTACTGTAGCCTTGGTGAGTCTTCAAATCAGGTAACCCTCCAATTCTCTTCTTAGCATTAAGGCAGTTTGCCTTCCACATAGTTCAGGGTTAATCAACTTGTAAGTATCCACCAAAAAAGCCTGCTGGAATTGGTTGAAAATGTCCTGGTTTTATAGATCAAATTGACAAAACATTTAGTATTGCAATCCATGAACACTGTATTTACTTAAGAAGGTTTAACTTTCATCAGTGTATTTCATGACTTTCTGTATACACTGAGTTTCTTTGGGTGGGAGTGCTAAGGGCAGTGTGTGCAGGTTTCAGCATTTCACTCAATTTGGGTCTTGTGATCTTCTCTGTTTTGTAGTACTGTAATAACTTTGTGGGTGAGTTCAGCTTTACGCCTGGTAACAATTCTGGGAGGTGATGACTAAGGATCTCTCAACATACTGTTAGACCAGTATCTCTCCTTCCCAAATCATTCTTGGTTCTCTTTGGCTAAGAAAACCATCACAAGGAAGTAAGTCATTTATGCTAGATGAAAGAACACTCCTATCTTACTCAACTGAGCCCACAGGAATACTGCTGAAAATGTCTTTACATGAGCAATGGGTTCAGACTCAGTTTTCCAAACACAGCCTATTGTTAAAGACATACAGTACACATGTGGAGTTCCAGTGGGCTTTTATTGAGAAATTAACAAAAATCAAGATTTTTCCAACCATCTTTTGTGAACCTTGTAAAACTCAGCAGACTCTGGTCCATGTACACATACATACAACAGAACACATCCCAACCCAAACAGAGCCCCACTGGAACACTTGCCAATTAACAGAAAGCCAATTTTCTCTTTCCTTAAATATATTCAAAAATTTGAGTTCCCACTGCTCACTTCTCAGTGGAACTGGTCCCTTGTGGCTAGGGACACTGGAATTTTCTCCCGTTTTTAATGAACAAAAATTGTATTTTTAAAGTTTTGTTTCAAAAAAGGGAAGCGACTTTTGTTTTCTCCAGGCACCCCTCCCCAACCACCGGTTAAAACACAGTAGCCTGTATCTTAACAACCCAGCCCTACCCCTCCCTTCCCCTGCCCAGTGTTGTCTACTGCAGAATTGAAATACACTTCTGCTGGAATCTGTCAGCTGTGGAAGGGCAAGGTCCAGGTGCCAGGCGAGCTCCCTCTGACACCTCATGAACTGGGACAACCTTTGGACACGTAACTCTTTACCCCAAAGATGAGTTTGAAGATTTTCTTTTGGAGTTAAAAAAAAAATCTTTATGGGTATAAAGTCAAACTACAAAGTCACAAAAATCCACATTAAGTTCACCAAAAAGCTGACTTACTTCAGCTCCCATGAGGTCAATAATTTTGCCTGACAAAGACATTTGGCAAGAAAATGATTCCACAACAATTTTAAAGGTACGTAAGACAGTTGAAAAAGACATAGCAAATTAAAATAACATGGCTTAATTCCCAAGAAATTTATTTCATCTTTTTGTTACTCATCTAGTAGGTCAGGAGTGTGGCTAAAGGCAGTTTCCGATGAGGTTATGAGCTTCCACAGTGTTTCTAAATCCTTAGTGCAGACACCCTCCCTTTTGGGGGCACAGTACCCTCCCTCCCCCCCTTATTAAAAAAAAAATAAATCAAGTGATCAGAATGAGATGTTCTGATTTCAACCACCTACACTCAAGGCTTTGTGCTGAGTTATCTTGTTCTAACTATGATGGTATCAAACACAAAGCAAGTGACAAAGGAAAGATGCTCCCATCTCATTCTGAAAAGAAATACTGATAACCATCTACCCACCCCCCCAACCTTTGGTTATAACCCAATGGGATAACCCAATGTTACGGATGCTGGGACCAACTTGAAAATAATTCAGAAATATATTTAAGTTTTCCTCTTTCTTACTTCTTCCCAAGAATGATCTTTTAGGATAAACTTAGTCCACTAAGTGAAAGGCAGTAATTTCTTATACTTTCACAACATGAGTTGGACATAGTTTTAATATAGGGACTGGTTCTCATCTAAATGAACCGCTGCAGGGAAAATATAACATTATTTAAAAACAAACCCAATATTACAAAGAATCTGAAGACAATGTCCAATTGCAACAATTCTCCTTGAGGGGAGAAAAAAAAAGAAAAAAAAAAAGAAAAAGAAAAAAGACTAGGACTGACCTAGTCTTTAGAGCATCTTTCCATTTAACAATTCCTATTCGAGTTAAGCACCAGAACCAGACAGCTGCCTCATTAAATGTCAGCGTCCAATCCTGGTGTCCCAGATAGTTTTAAGTGCCACTCCTCATCAGAGGCTGTACTTCAGTAATACTTTCTATTTTAATTCTGTGCTTTAAGAGGGACCCACAGGCATGTGGCACCCGGCAGAGCAGCCTAAGGTCGACAAAAAGACTGCACTTGCCCACTTTTTAGCAAGATATAAAATCACATTTACACTGTTCTTGTTTTACATGAGCGATCCCTCTTACCTCACCAGAGGTGGGGGAGAAAGAGCTGCATCAGTACAAGGGCAAGATCTGTTTGTTGGTCAAAAGGTGACACCTTTTAAGTTCCCACCCCCACCCTTCCCTGGAAAAAGACACTTAATGTCCTTAATTAGGATTTGTATTTAGTAACCAACATTGGATATACCACTTGGGATTCCAAAGAAATTAACTTGCTTTTTTTTGGGTTTGTACTGTGCAGCTCTTGCTACAGTTAAGGAGTCAGGGCTATGTCTGATCAGGAGGCATCTGTAGGATTTTGATCCTCAAGGAATTTTGGGTGACTTGCAAACAGTTTTGCTTAGAACTAGGCAGAGTCAAAAAAGCAACTTCAAATAATTATTTCTTTATCCAGATGAGTTAAGCATGAAAGCAAATGCAGGATTTATCTTATAATATTTTAGGGTTTTGAGAAACAACAGAGTATGGAAGTAATTTTTTTCAATTTTGTGTTTTGCTTTTTTCTCCCTAGATGACTCCTGATTGACCTAGTATACTGGGTTAAAAGGGGATTAAAAACATTAAAAAAAAAAAAAAAGTTCACTGGTTTTGATTCATCTCACTCCTTTTGCCTGGAGATCAGGCCAAACATCAAGCATGTTGGGAGGGGCACAATTCAAAGCAACACTATTGACTGTTAAGCATCTGCCAGCAATTTACAACGCAAAATGACAGGTAAAGATTCGTGTCAACAACGCAAGAGGATGGTAAGCAGCTTTCTGTAGCATGAAAGTTAACAGCTCTTGGGGTTGCCCATTCCTGCAAGTTTATGTATCAAGATAGGCAGAGGGCAACACATTTACAACACTACAAGAGATGACCCACAGAAAATTAAGTTCCAGAACTGCTAACACTGCCAAAGCTGGTACTGGTTAAATATTCTGAAATGCAAACCCATGCTTTATACATATTCTGCTCAGCGATGCTGCCACTCAACTGAATTCTCATACTGCAAAGTAGATTAATCTTTGCTCCCTTCTGCAGTTTGAGAAAGTTCCTCAAACTTTTAGAAAAGGAGATGCAGTACCAGAGAGCTTCTCAAAAATTCATCTCGATTATACAAATATTCTAGATGAGACAGTGTGGCAGCAAACGGTGCACCCCAGACTTCTAGGTCCCTTTTCTAACACGGGGTCCCCATAGAGGTATGCGCTCTACAGTAAAAGGCCAAAGGACTTCTGAGAATTTAGTGTTGCGGAAAACTGAGCCCCTCTCATCTTGAGCTGCTCCCATAATCACTCTAATCCCTTAATCCCAGCAACCTTCATCCAAAAAAAAATAATATATATATATGTATATATATATATATATATATATGTGAACCCAGAAAAAAAACTTATTTACAAAGTTTATACAAGTATACACACCCAATTTTCTATGGGACGCGCTTTGCCAGAGGAAAGAGGGTCAAGGCTCTGACATGTCTACACATCAAGTGCCATACTGCTAATGGAGACGTATGTAAACCAGTCTTTAGTGTTCTGCTATAGAGCACAAAGGCTTGTCATATGGCTCCTGCAATGATAGACTGCTCTTTCCTTTGGGAGCGATGATACATCTACTCAGCCCAGAAGAAATTTTTAGTTGGGATTGTTTTTTTAAATACATGTATTTACAGTGCGGATGAACTGCTGCTGCATGTCAACTCCTCCACATAAAGAAAACAAAAATGGTGTTTAACATTACTAGTAAGTTTCCTCTTCCAGCCCTGGGCTTGAGTAATGGGTAGAAAGGGAAGAGACTTCACCGTGAAACTAAAACAAACAGACAAAAATTTTTTAAAAAGAAAGGGGGAAAAAAATGAAAATTATTTTGTTGATTCCTTGGGCTGTGTCTAAAAGATGATATTCTGCATGGTCTCATAGCATAAGGCACTTCGCACAAATAAGTAATAAGCTCTTCAGGCTTAAAAAACGGATGAGTAATCAGGGAGAAGTTGAAATGCACTCAAGAGTCAGCTGTTGGAGAATTTTGAAATTGTAGACAAGCTTGTGTGTTCATCAATATTCTTCTCTTCTTAGGGTTTCTCCCCTTCTCTTCTTTTCCTCCTTCCTTGTCCCCTTTCCCCAGAAAACATTTTTTAAAAACCAGCAGTTAGTGCAACTAATGTTCAGTCAGCACACAGTGCAAACAAGTGGAACAAAAAAGGTATATTCCTTCTTTTCAGTTTTCTCTTCACCAGTTAAAAAAGAAAAATGTCTGAGCTCTTTTAAGTCTTCATAGTTTCAAAATAAAAGATGAAAAACCCACAAAGAGAAGAGCACCCCCCAAAAAAGATGTGACAGATCCAAAGGAGCCTTCTGTAGTTTGTCAAAGCCTATAGAAAAGAAAGCTACAATTAGTATCCGTGAAGGTAATAAACCCACTATATGTATGTTTTCACAATCTTCACCCAAATGTTCTAGTAGTTTCCACTGAGCCTTTATCACTACAGAATCCATTGGTTACAATAGAGGAAATTTCTCCTAGGCAACCCTGTGATAGAATGAGATTCTCAAATTCTAGGGACTGGTAGCTCTCATTCATAACTAACTATTTATTTATTTTTGTCTTTTTGAGACAGGGTCTTGCTATGCGGTTCAGGCTGGCCTTGAGCTCGCTTTGTAGCCCAGGCTGGTCTCGAACTCACAACAATCCTCCTGCCTCAGCCTCCCAAGTGAATGCTGGGATTACAGGCATGTGTCACCACGCCTGGTTCACTTATAACAATTTAACTGAGGGGGAGAAGTGTTTGTTTTACATGAAATGAATGATCTGCCAAAGTACTGGCAAATACATGGTTTTGTTTGTCCAAGGGTTTTGTGTTTTATATTTATCTTAGGAAAAATGGTTAAAATGGAGTCATTTGAAAATTCTCTAAGCTACAGCAATAGACCAAAACATTTACTGTAATTTGGAGACTATCATCTGTAAACTAAACCAGAATTTTCTCAGGGAACACTGAAATAGCCTATATTGCTGCATGCTGAACCTTGTTTTAGGCATTTCTGCTTTTTAATTTTTTTTTTTTTTTTGCGGTACCAGGGATTGAACTCGGGACCTTGCGCTTGCCAGGCAGGCACGTATGCCACTGAGTTATATCCCCAGCCCCTTGCTTTTTAATTTTTGGATTGAACCCAGGGCCTCATGGATGCATTTCACCACTGAGCTGTATCTCCAGTCCTTTTTTATTTTTTTGAGATAGGGTCTTGCTAAGCTGCCCAGGTTGCCCTTGAACTCTCAATTCTCCTGCATACCTCATCCTGAGTAGTAGGGACTGTGTGTGTCACTGTGCTCAGTCTGCATGTCTAACCAGAGCCCAAGAGTCATCAAAGATGAAAGAAGCCAGGTATGGTAGACATTTGCACCCCCAGCTACTGAGAAGACGCAGGCAGAAGGCAAGCGCAAAAATGGGCGACTTGGCAAGACTGTCTCAAAACAGAAGTGGCTGGAGATGTTGCTCAGTGATGAGTACACATAGGGTTGAATCTCCAGTACTATATACTCTCTACCTCTATGAAGAGGACGAAGCGAGGTGTGTGGATAATCAGACTGGGTACTTACCCAGACTGCATCCTCATAACCTCATTATACCTTTGGGACTAGGTATTAGAGGCAATATTATCCAATTTATTAATGCATCCAACAGAAGCATTCTAAAAACAGAGATGACTTTAGAGGAGATAAAAGAAAAAAGGAAGAGCAGAAGTATTTTCTTCCTTTTTTTTTTTTTGGTCTTTTTGAGACAGGACTTCTGTTGACTTTAAACGTTGCCTGGTGCGCCTTTTTTTTTTTTTTTTTTTTTGGTTTTTCTCCGGTACCGGGAACCGAACTCACGACCTTGCACTTGCCAGGCAGGCGCTTTCGCCGCTGAGCTAAATCCCCAGCCCCTTTGAGCTCACTTTGTAGCATGGCTGGTCTTAAAGGCATGGAACACCATGCCCGGCTCAGCAGAAAGTATTTTCACACTCAAATTGCCACCACAGGTTCTTTTTACTTTCATCACTGTGGGAGCCCCAATTTGTCTGAAGTATTGCTCACCTACCACATTAAACAGGAAACTGCATTCCAGAACACAATTACCATACAGCAATACCTTGTTTTATAAACTTAATTCTTTCCATGATTCTATCATAAACCAAACTGGACAAGAACTGAATCAAGTTCAATGGTTATGGTCAATGTTGACTGTATGGGGAAATCTGAATCAGCTCTTGTTGAATTTGGTTTGCAGCCAGAACTGTTAATAGAATTAAGTTGGTGAACTGGGTATCACTTGTGTTCTCTAATGATACCAATCCCTCACAGAAGAGATGTCTGCTACTTACTGTCTGTCACTTATGCCAATGGGTATTTTACCATATATTGCTATTATATATGGCAGGAAATACAATTTCCCCCAGGAAAGAGACGGTTTCTTTCCTTTAAAAGCTTCAGTGACTTCACTGTTATCAGGTACATACATGCTTGTTAAGGTTTTTCATCTTCTACAGGCTCGCTGTGGTACTCTGCCACATACAGGCTCTTGTCAATGTTGCTTGGGATAGGTTTAATTTCTGTTCCCAGCTGCTCCTCAATACTTTTCAGGTTGAAGCGATCATCATATGTGATCAAGTTGATGGCTAAGCCAAGATGACCAAAGCGACCTGAAGAAAAATGTGTTCAATAGCTTAAAAAATGAGTTAAACTTTAAAAATCAACACGTACATGCAAGCCTGTAAGTGACAAAAGCACAGAGGATTATTCTCTTCAGTGCCATCCTGAAAGTAAGAAAATACTTTTTATGGTCTGCTTACACGTAATTACCCTCCAGCTTCAGATTTTACAACACAAAGTAGTACAGTTTGCTTCCTGTTTTCATAGGATCTACATCAGTGGATTTTACCAACTGCAGATAGAAAATAATATATGGAAAGAATTTCTGTTGTACTTAACATATGTATCTATCTTTTCTGGTATTCCCTAAACAACAGAGTACAATAACTACAATGGCTACTATAATAACTTGTTACACCGTATCCTTATTGTTAGGTATTATAAGTAAGCTAGAGATGATTTGTCAATACACAGGATGATACACATGGGTTATATGCAAATGAGACTCAAGCATCCACAGACCTTGATATCTGCAGGGAGTTTTGGAACCAATCTACTGTGGGTACTGAGGAACAGCTATAGTTTATTTTTCCTTTTTATTTCTCTCTTCTGATGGCGCTGGGAATGGGAACTAAGTCCTGTGCATGTTATGCAAGTGCCCCACCACTGAGCTATATCCTCAGCCCTATTTTACTTTACTCAAATGATTAAATGGATGTTCACTTGTATCAAGTTACCAAAATACACACAGTGAACAGTTTGAGATCAGCCTGGACTACACAGTGAGATCCTGCCTCAAAAAAAAAAAAAAAAAAAAAGTCATAAAAATGAAACTGAATTAGTTAATAATTCACTGCTTGCACTAGTATATTGATTTTAAAAAGAACAAAACTTAGTAATTATACTTTTACAAAACTTCCATAAGACTAGGCCCTTTCTTTTCCTTACCTGATCTTCCAATACGATGAAGATAGGTCTCTGCCAGCTTTGGGAAGTCAAAGTTTATTACCACATTCACAGCTTGTATATCAATACCTCGGGTAAACAGATCTTAAAAAAAAAAACAAAAAACAAATTTTTTATTACATTTTTAGATTTAGACATGCCTTTTGGTACAATACTTAAAAAAAAAAAAAAAAAAAAAGTACTGAGGATCAAACCCAGAGCCTTTATACTGAGCTGTATCAACAGACCTTTTAAAATTCAGACAGGTCAGGGATATAGCTCAGCAGCACAGTGACTGCTTGGCAAGTGCAAGGTCCTGAGTTTGAGTCCCACTAACGAACAAACAAATAAAATAAAAGTTAAAAAAATAAAATAAAATAAAATTGAGACAGGACTTGCTAAGCTTCCCAGGTGGGGCCTGGACTTGTGATCCTCCTACTTCAGCCTCCCAGAATGCTAGCATTACAAGTATGCAATACCATGCCTCGTCTTCAATACTTTTATTTACATTTAAAAATTATCACAGGTTTGAAATATTTTAAAAATCATACAGAGCCTCAATACTTTTAGCATTACCTTTCATTTACTTTATCAGATACAAATTTCTGCTCACAATCTTTTACAAGCCCTGTAACAAACCAAGTTTTAAAAAATGGTAGTACATAACTGTGCAAATGCAGAAAGATACCATGACTGGCAAACTATAAACAAATAAATGGGTATCAAGAGTAACCATGAAGGGGCTGGGGATTTAGCTCAGCAGCACAGCGCCTGCCTGGCAAGCACAAGGTCGTGAGTTCGATTCCCAGTACGGGGCGGGGGGGAGAGTAACCATGAATTTTTTTTCAAGGCCAGTGTGAACTACATAGCAAGACTGACTCAAAACATGAAACAATAAAAAGAACACTTTGAATTTTTTACTATTCATATCTCATATATGTAAATCGTTACTTGTTACTTCCTTATGAGTTTGGCCCAAATAAAGTATTATTCCAAAATAACCTTGTCTTTTCATTTATATATTGTCTAAGGATACTTTTGAGCTACCATGACAGAACTGAATACATGTTAAAAAATACTGTGTGGAGTATAAACTCTTAAAATATTTACTATCTGACACTTCACAGAAAAAGTGTGCAAGCTTTGCCTTTATGTTACCTTTTATGTAAGTTCATTTATACATTCTGGACACCATGTCATATAGCATTTATTTAATGACATTATATAACTTCTGAAAAACCAGAAAGGAGAATTACCACTTCAAACTTATCTGAGGGCAACGCTGGAAGGAATGATTAAAAATAAATCAATTAACTAATGTAACAATTCATACCAATGTGCAAGCACAGTACTATTACGTACTAAGAACTTTTCTGGATAGCAGGCATTGAACTGATGGTCTCAACTTATTTTTTGTGCTGGAGATCAAACCTAGTGCCTTGTGCACGCAGGCAAGCCCTGTAACACTGAGCTATCTCCCCCAACTTTCTTTTCTTAAAGGATAAAAATTCACTCTCTAATAGAGGACTGCCTGATGACAAATAGCCCTTCTTATTTCCTATACATTTTGGGGGGGGGGGTCTTCTTGAGAGAGGGTCTCACTATGCAATTTAGGCTGGCCTTTAGCTCACTTTGTAGCGTAGGCTGGTCTTGAACTTGCAACAATCCTTCTGCCTCAGCCTCCCAAGTGCTGGGATTACAGGCATGCACCACCACGCCTGCCTTCCTGTACATTTTGAATTTGACTAAATATTCAAAATATTTCACTGATAAACTATATCCTTCAGATAATGGGTTCCACAAGTGCAAAGAAAATACATACCATATGTTATAAATATAAAATATGTATTATACACAAGTATTTTACAATTTATATATACATGTGTTTAAAATATAAAATTCAAGTATTTTTGTAACATCTAGTTGTTTGTAGAGAGTAAACGTGTTAAATATCAGTAAGTCTATGTTAAATGAACTACAACATATTTAATTTATAAGGTACCTCCACTATACAGAAGAAAAAATAGCATAAAAGAAAACACAACTTGCCTGAGGTCATAATTAAAGGTTAAAAAAATGAGGATTTGGAATCTAACCTTAAAAATCCTAGGTGCCTAGTATCTTTTCTACTACACCAAATATAGTTCACAAACTTCAACATACTTCAACAAACTTCAACATTAGCAGATTAGGCCTGCTAATAAAGTAAAAGTGAATGTATATGGTCACAGCTCAACTATAATTTCAGATGTAGGACAGAGAAACAAGATGAAGTTATGAGTCATCTTTTTTAGTCATTTTCTGTCTCCCCTCCCCTCACCGGTACCAGCAATCGAACTCATAATTGTGCACTTGCCAGGCAGGCGCTGTGCTGCTGAGCTAAATCCCCAGACCCCTTTTTCAGTCATTTTCCTGATTTCTTTTTTGTGGTGCTAGGGATCCAACCCAGGGTCCCACAAAAGCTAGTCATAAGTTCTACCACTGAGTCCTTTGATTCTTTTTTTTTTTTTTTTGGTCTTTTTGAGACAGGGTCTCGCTATGCAGTTCAGGCTGGCCTTGAGCTCACTTTGTAGCCCAGGCTGGTCTTGAACTCCCAACGATCCTCCTACCTCAGCCTCCCAAGTGCTGGGTTTACAGGTGTGCACCACCATGCCCGGTGATTATTTTTATTTTTAGTTTGTTTCCGGTACCGGGAATTGAACTCATGACCTCGTGCTTGCCAGGCAGGCGCTGTGACACTGAGCTAAATCCCCAGCCCCAAAACTTTCACCATAAAGTAATTTTTTTTTTTGGTACTGGAAATCGAACTCAAGACCTTGCGCTGGGGCAGGCACTTATGCCACTTTGATTCTTAAGAACTGAAATTCTGCTAGAAAAATATTAAGAACAGTCATGTATGTACCACTTGTGGTTCAAGCTGCCCAACAGGAAGACATATGAATTATGGCCCTGTCATGAACTTGTGTAAAATCCTTCTCTGTGTCATGGTTTAATGGGTATATACACATGCAAAAATACATCAAATAATATACTTCAGAATAAATAACTCCAAATTCTCTTTCCACAGAAACCTAGATTATTAATCTCATACCAGTAAGATTACATTTCCAGTATAAAAGATGCAGGGTTATGAATCCATTTGCTTTGTCTGATCTGACTCCCACCCCAACTAGTCTACTTCTGGGGAGAAAAAAAAAAGTTCTAAAACATAGGCAGTGTCTTAGTATAATTCACTTTGTGTAGCTCCTTTTTTTGTGGGGGGGGCGGTGTCTTTTTTTAAGACAGGGTTTCACTATGCAGTTCAGGCTGGCCTCAAACTCACAGCGATCCTCCTGTCTCAAGTTTCCTGAGAGCTTATGTATAGCTCATTCTTCTATGCTAAAACTATTCAGAAAACACAAATTGTAAAATCAGTTTAAAAATCCGATTAAGTATGAGGGCAAAAACAAGTCTTCTGCAGATTTGGATAGGGGACCTAATTTTAGGAGTTCATTAGAGTTCAGAAACTCTAAATGTGGCAATAGAGTGTGCTGGACTATGTCACAGGTTGCACTATGTGATACAAAGAAAGCAACCCAGAAGTAGAGAGAAAAACAACGGGTACAATACAAAGATACTTACCAGTGCAAACAAGATTGCGGCATAAGCCATTTCGGAAATCATGAAATACACGATTTCGATGTTCCTAGAAGAAAACAATATATGACATTTGATTAAAACATATATAGCACAGAACTGTCATTGTTTTTCCTATCCAAGCATTTCTTTATACCCCCAATCTGTCTATACATATGATACAGGACTTTAACCTTCTTTTAAAACTAAATGTAGGGCCGGGGATATAGCTCAGGGGCAAAGCACCTGCCTGGCAAACACAAGGTCGTGAGTTCAATTTCCGTTACAAAAGACTGCTTAAAAAAAAAAAACCCCAAACATAAATTCTTAATCTATTGGTTAGTCTACAGAAACTGTTTTCTTATAAAAAGTGTCTTGTCATAGCTTTGAATTATTTTGTTACAACACACTATGAAATTTAGAGACATCCTTTCTTAAGGTAAATAAAAAATAAAAAAATCTGTAGCTTAGCTTAGGGGCCATCTACAGTAGTTCAGCCCTACCCTTAATTTCACTTTCCATCATTTTTCTAGTTAACCTCAGCCTCAAAAAATTACATGGAAAACCCAGAAATAATTCCTAAGTTAAACTGTACACCTTTCTGAGGAGTGTCATGGAATCATACATCTTTCTATCTGGAATAAACCATCCTTTTGTCCACTGCACACGACATATATCTCTTAGCTCTTTTATCAGTTTAACTCACACGGGCATCACCATGCTTGTGTTAAGGAACCCTTATGCGTAGTCCAATGACAACGTCCACATTATTCACCTCTCCTCATCAGGCAGGCACAGAATCATCTTACATCATCACAAAAAGGATAAGTCTTGTACAGTTAAGATTACTTTTAGAGAGCTCACGTTCATTTTATTATAGTAAACTATTCTATTTTATTAACTGTTATTAATCTCTTACTGCACCTAATTTATGAATTAAACCCAGTGTATATACAGGTTTGATATTATTTGCAGCTGCAGGCATATACTGGGAATATTTTGGAACATATCCTCCTTTGATGAGACTTTTAAAGATAAGTTAAAAATCTATAGCAAAGTTTTCTGTAGTAAGTTCTTTATTTGATAATACAAGAAGTCACTAGCCACAGTTATATAACCGAGTACCTGAAATGTATCTGCTTTGATGAAGGAACTAAATTTTTAACCAAGATATAGTACAACAACCACTGATAATTTCCCACCATTTTTGTCTGTAACTCCCTATTATTTGTCTATTTGTTTTCCTGAGAAACTATCTTGAAGATACCAATAGGTAAAATAACAACCACTGATAATGTCGTGCCACTTTGTAATTTGGTGAATCCCCCTACTGCTATGTTGTCCTTTAACTCTTTAAAAACCAAAAAAACCCCCAAAAAACTCTAATTTTTAACTTTCCTTCATTTTAACTAAATCGTAACAAATGGCTGTGATTAAACAGTACAAATCTAAAGATTATCTAGGAAAGGAAGAAAATTAAATTTCACTTTTTGTATCACTCTTTATTGCTCACAAAGTACTCATTCATGTATTGTTTTCACTCTTCCTAACAAACTTGTAAGGTACAAATATGTACTATTACCCCTATTTTTAGACAATTAAACCCCAAGGAATTAGCTAAAAGATTTTAAAGACCAGTTCCTTCTTTTCTACTCACCTGCCTCATTTTAGCATGAATATAGAAGCACGAATAACCCAGTTGAGAAATCTTCTTGGCTAGCAATTCAACTCGCTGAGAGGAGTTACAGAAAATGATCGACTGGTTTATCTGAAGCTGAGTACAGGAAAAACAAAAACAAAACAAAAAAACCTTTATGTATCTTGCCAAATTTTAAAATATTAACTGGCAAACAAGGAATGCTAAAGACAGTCTAGAATACTGTGGTAGGAGAGATATGGAAGGCTATAAAACCTTTAAATATGACTTAATATCTACAGAAAATGATGTATACTTTATTACAGATGTGTTTCATAAGGGCCACATAATTGCCAATGAATAAAACACAGTTGATTCTCATTATACACAGTAGTATGTTCTATAAAGTCACTGCAAACACCTACGTAGTAAATATAGAAACATGGCTTCTAGGGAAAAACACAGTAGATTCCTGTGAGCTTTTGGTCAGTCTTTTTAATCAACAGCTCCATACATAATCTATGTGTGTTTCTGTTTTAAGATATCTTAATACATTCATAGCCCAAACCACTCTAACTCATGTCTGCAAAAAACATACAAAATACATCTTCTCTGCAAGGCTCGTCAGTCTTGTCTTTAGAAGCAATGAGCAATACTTCAACACCATGTGTAGAAACCATTTTCAACAGTGAAATCTTCAAAAAGAGGTACGTAAGTCTGAAAAACTTGGCATCCAATACTACTGTGAAAACACTTGTTCACCATACGAGAATCAAAAACAAGAAAGGAAAATGTCATCTTCTTTGACCTCATTTGGGGAATAGGCAAGTCAAGTGAGTCAGAATTTCTGCTATATCGCACATGTTCACAAATGACTGAAAATGACAAGCAGGCAGAATAAATACAGAAACTGAATAATGAGGATCAATTTTAATTAAGGTTAAATTATTTTAGAATAAAATTAAAGCATCAATTATACAAATAAACTGAAGCTGCCTTTTAGGAAATAATACTTTTTTTAACTGTAAAGATTATGAGAAAATGGATATAAGTCTGTTTTATTGGGATTAAGTGATGAATGATCAGCAGCAGAGAACTACTTACCCTGGAGAAAAGTGTGTTGAGGCAGTGTACTTTTTGGCGCTCAGTTACATATGCGTAGTACTGGGTTACTCCCTTCAACGTTAGTTCCTCCATCAGGTTAATCTCATAGGGTTTCTGCAAATGGGAATTCTGAAAAAAAAAAAAGGAGAAGCCTTATGCCTGAAGCAGAATTTTTTCTATCTTAAGCCCAAAATACATACATTTCTGTCTGATACACTCTTGGTCTAAGAGATGCATCTCTCGTCAAGAAAACAAGTTATATGAAAAACAAATTACTGTTAAGATGTAACATCTCAGATTCAAAAATGCAGCTACATTATTCTGTGTTCTGTAGGTATTGTTTTGTAGATGCTGTAATCAATTTACACTGCTAGCATCAATTGGCTATGTCATCCTGACACCAAGAGCTAAGCAGAAAAACCAAAAATTCAATCCATTTCTGTTGTAGCTTTTGAAAAAGTGAATGTGCCTGGTGTGGTGGTGCACGCCTGCAATCCCAGCATGTGGGAGGCTCAAGCAGGAGGATTGCTGCAAGTTTGAGGCCAGGCTGGGATACATAGTGAGTTTAAGACCAGCCTGGACTACATGGTGAAACCCTGTTTCATTTAAAAAAAAAAGAAAAAAGAAAAAAGGGCCGGGGACTTAGCTCAGTGGCATAGCACCTGCCTGGCAAGTGCGAGGTCATGAGTTTGATTCCCGGTACCAGAAAAAAACAAAATAAAAAAAGAGTGAATGCACATACAAATCTTAACTGGCAGCTGAAAAAAAAGGCTAAAGACTTTTAAGTAGTTAAAATAAAACTTATGCTCTGATACTAAGATGGAATTATGGATAAAAGGATACTCATAGGCAACAGCGTGGGCTACAGATTTATACTCACCATGAACTTTTGCACACTAAGAGGGAAAGTAGCGGAATATAGTAAAATCTGCCTGTTTTTAGGTAATGTGAGAATAATATCCTCCATTATCTGCACAAAATCCTGTGATAGCAACTTATCTGCCTGTAAGACAAAGAGAAGACAATTTAAAAAACAATGTTGTTTAAAGTCTGGTTAATATAGGGACAAATAAGCATAAGCCATTAAGAATATCCACAGAATGTTACTGATTTACAAACAATAAATTCTCTCCAATACACAGAGTCCAAGAGCCTCAAGACAAATTCTCACTAATTCAGAACGGAAAAAGCCTGTATTACTCATCTTTTAGGGGGAAAAAAAACCTTTAGACCAGTGATGGCAAACTTTTAAAGAGTTTTCAATGAACCAAATGATCCACTGCAGCATGAGTGCCACAGGTTTGCCACCACTATTCTAGACTGATAAAGCCTGTTTCTCTAATGGAATTTTTATCTGATTCCCATTACATTAAGGTTCTGGAGGTCCTGAAGTCAATCTAGTTGGACTGAAATGTCTCCTTTATTCACTAGCTGCTTGTGGATATTACTTAACCATTTTGTACTTCACTTTCCACAGCTATAAAATTGGGCTATCTAAACACCACAATAATTACTTTATGGTACACCTGTACCTTACTGGGTTATTGTAAAAATTAATGAAAAAGTATGTATTTAGTGTTGACACATACTGATAGTAAACGTTAATTACTACTTAAGCCAAACAATACATAGTGGTATGCACAAAATGAGGGTAAGAGACATCTGCTTCTAAAAAATGTATCTGTGAACAGACTTAGAATGAACTTGGCTGTGAAGTCATTCAGAAATTCTTTTAAAAAAATAAAACCTAAACTGCCAGGTGTGGTGGTGCACACCTGTAATCTCAGCACTTGGGAGGCTGATGCAGGAGGATCTTTAAGAGTCTGAGGCCTGCCTGGGCTATGTAAGTGTGTTCAAGGCCACCTTAAACTGCATAGTGAGACCCTGTCTCAAAAAGACAAAAAAACCTAAAAAAACACCAAAAACTATCCAGTATCCCTAAGAAGAAACATGCTTTATAAAGAAATTAGTTGTAACTGACCAGTTAAATGCTTACTGCAAAGGTATAAACACAAATAGCTTTCGGTTCATTTACTGGAAATTATAAGCAAAGCTTAAAATAAGATAGAACAGTATCTTTGCAAAGGAAGGGACATTACCTCATCCAATACTATCATCTGGACATGATCAACCTTTGCTACTCCTTTCTTGATAAGATCCAGGATTCTGCCAGGGGTAGCGATTATCACATGCACTACATAAGATTGAGAAAACATACATTGTTCTCATTAACTTTAGCCTGGACAAAAAGGGTATTACAAGTCTATAATAATTTCCTTTTAACATACACTACTGTAGAGGTACGAGTAATACAAAAAGATACAAGATGGGCTTTAGGCTATATAATATACAGTATTTCCATTTCACTTTAAGACAACTAGAGAATATTTGCTATTTACCTCTTCATGTAGTGGGCTACAGCATCCCAAATTACCTACTCCAAACAGGGGACATACTTGCTTGTCTTAAAACAACCCATAATAAATAACAGAAGGTGTACCAGATTTCTGACAAAGTAGAAATGCCTCTAATCTAGAGCAATGGTGTTCAGGAGATTGTTTATAAGCATAAAACAAAATGATTATTTTAAAAAACTGGAGTACATGCTGGGCATGGTGGCATATGGCTATAATCTCCTTTGGGAGGCTGAGACAGAAGGATTACTGTAAGTTTGAGGCCAGGCTGGGCTATACACAGTGAGTGCAAGGCCAGCTGAGCTACATAGCAAAACCATGTTTTTAAAAAAAAGGGGAGGAGGAGCTGGGGATTTAGCTCAGCAGTAAAGCACTTGCCTGGCAAGCGCAAGGTTGTGAGTTCGATTCCTGATACAAGAAAAGGAAAAAAAAGGGGGGGGGGAGAAAAATTAAAAAAAGAAAAAAACCCCACAACTATGTAGTACAAAGAATGTATCAAAGTAACCAAACAATACTTAATATATAAAACTGAGGATAAACAACCTATATACCTTTATCAAAGTACTCACATTTCTGTTGTCTTTTTATATTTGATATCATACTATGGTGATCTCCTCATGAAAATGAATACAGATCAGCTTTATTCCTAATAGATATATGGAAATCCATTGACAATATCATAATATCCATATATCTTCTTTTCTTTTTTTTTCCCCCCGGTACCAGGAATCCAACTCACGACCTTTCGCTTGCCAGGCAGGCACTGTGCTGCTGAGCTAAATCCCCAGCCCCGACAATATCACAATATATTTAGCCAATCTCCTGACATACTGAGATTGATCTAATTTTTTAATACTATAAGCCACACCAAACAACCTTGTACATATAATCTTTTTTTTTTTTTTTCCTGGTCTTTTTGAGACAGGCTCTTGCTATGCAGTTCAGACTGGCCTTGAGCTCACTTTGTAGCCCAGGCTGGTCTTGAACTCACAAGAATCCTCCTGCTTCAGCCTCCTGAGTGCTGGGATTACCGGAATGCGCCACCATGCTGGCTTGGTACATATAATCTTACAGTCACTCATTTTTCTCAAGATTCTTGAAAATAAACACTGATAATCTGACGTATACTGCCAATCTCCAACAAAAATCAATTTACACTTCTATAAGACAGTATTTCTACAGATTCATATTATCAATTACTAACATTTTAATATTACAACAATTAATATTCAGTTAGTTTAAAAACTTACTACTATGGTTGAATATCCTCTCAATTATCAATTTGTCTTTCCTTGAATGGTCATTTTTTAATTCATTATTTTGTTATAGTGTTTCTGTTCCTTGATTCTTTTTAATTTGATGTACAATTTAGAAACACATAATGATCATATTCATTAAAGGGATGTTCCTTTATTCTTAAAAACAATTTTCACTCATTTACTAAGAGGAAGCACCTGTGACTAAAACTCAGCTCTGCACGACCTTAAGTTCTTACCTGTGTCATCAAGCCTCATTATGTCATCCCGTAAATTGGTTCCTCCTGTGGTTGCCATCACTTTGGCCCCTCCCATGTGTTTGCTGACCTGGATGCAAATTTGACTGACCTGTAGAGCAAGTTCTCTAGTGGGAACAATCACCATTGCTGGAAAGTATCAAGGAACAGAGAAAACAACGACAACATGTTGTATTATTTAAGAAGATATAAAAATAATGCTCCTTCCCTGTAAACTAGATACTTATTAAAAAGTCTGCTCATAACAGATCTAGCAAATATATATTAGTATTTCTAAGAGTCCTAACAACATGTGGCAGTAAGATTCAGTAATTTAAATGCCACGGTCGGAAATTCCCACTGTTCAAGTTCTATTTACATTATATGAAATGAAGAAAAAATGACAACTACAGATCAAGAAAGCTACAATTTTAAGAAAAGCTGTGGAGTAAATCTTAATTCTATTAGCTTAACCTGGGTACAACCACAGAAATTTATCTCTCTATTGCATAAGCTCTTAAAATCTCCAAACAGAAGCTGTTTATGCTTCTACAAAACTCTGCAGATACACTGCTATAACAAGAAACAATTCAGTTCCACAGTTCAAAAGCAATATCAAATAATTTAACTTCATGATTTACCTTCCTTCTCTACAGAACAATTTCCTCTGAAAAATAGAAATCTTTGTTGGGAATGATCTTTACAAAGCAATTAGGCCAAAAGTTATGAAAAGAATCATAATACAGTACTAGATTATGTAAATTCTGACCAAAAAGAAGACAGGGCTATATCCTACCCAGCCTCAGGGTTTAAACTACCACGTTTACGTTAGAACAAACACAAACTGCTCCAACTAACCTTGTATATTGTCCTTCTTCAGGTCTAGCCGTTCAAGTAAGGGAATGAGGTAGGCACCGCTCTTGCCTGTTCCATTTTTTGCTCTAGCTAAGATATCCCTACCAGATAAAGCAATGGGAATGCTCTCCTCCTGAGACAAAACAATGCAAAATTATTGGTCAATAAAAGCAGTAAATGAGTGAATTCTTATCTAGAATACAATGAAAGACACCTCTTTTGAATTTGGGTTTCACATGAGCAGCAAAGCCCAAAGTGAACAATATCATCAATCCACACTTATCAGAAGTACTCATAGAATTTTTAAATATTATTTTTGGTTATACTGGGAAATTTAACTCAGGGCCTTCACATGGAGCTGTATACCCAGTCTTTTTTTTTTCTTCTTCTTCTTTTTTTTTTTTTTTTTTTTTGGTTTTTTTCTGGTACTGGGAACCGAACTCACGACCTTGTGCTTGCCAGGCAGGCACTTTGCCACTGAGCTAAATCCCCAGCCACTATACCCAGTCTTTTGTTGGGGGGGGGGAGTTAAAACTTTGAGAGTGTTCACAGAATACCTTTTAAGTTATATCCCAATGTACAAAAACTAGCTATGTAAGTAGGCATATAGGAAGAAAATTTAAAAGGTGAAGAAAAAACAAAGGGCCATAAATAGGACTTGAATATACAAATATTCGAGTATTTCAATTCAAAGCTGGGGGGAAAAAAAAACATAAACAATTCCAAAAGACTGACATATTTCAATATATGCTATTTTCAGATTACTAAGCCAGTTTCATCAGTGAACATTTACAGGTTGGGCTGGGAGTGTTATCACTGTGGTACAGTGCATACCTAGCATCCAAAAGGCCCTACATTCAACTCTCCAGCACCAAAAACCAGTACCAGTGAAAAATTGTAGCTTGACAGTTTATCCTTGTATAAAAAATAAATAGGCCAGAAACATTTAATCTCAGGTCCTCCTTGGTATTTCTTTATATGCTACATAAAACTCACCAGACATGGTGGTAGTGTATGCCTGTAATCCCAGCACTTGGGAGGCTGAAGCAGGAGGACTGTTTTGAGTTTCAGGCCAACCTAGGCTACATGGTGAGACCTTATCTCAAAAAGCAAAACCAAACCAAACCAAACCCAAAGCTCCAAGGTCTGTCTTTTAATAAATTCTGTTCTGAAATGTGCTCAACTGGGGCTGAATCCTATTTCAGTTCTTTTATTCTATGATCACATCACTGAGAATGACTTCTCATTTTCTTATTTAGTTTAGTTTGTCATTGTGTGTGGTTTCTACAGAAAATAATACTTCCTACTAACTTGAGATACAGTAAAGGACTATCAATCATTACTGAAAATTAAATACACATACAGTACATGGAGGGAAATTTAAAGGGAGAACAAATACAAACTAGGACAAAACAGAACACAGACAATATTTGGCTGGAAAAAAAAAAAACCCACCTCAACAAGGAATAATACCATAACCTTTTCTCGAAGACATATCAGTTAGTAATGGGCTCTAATGTACAGAGTTATTAGGGAAAAGTATAGTTGGAAGGATATTTCATCTAAAAAGCACTAAAGTTTTGAACCTCTGAAAACTTTTTTCAAAAGTCTCTGTGCTCCTCTACTGTAAGGTAATATCAATAAAGTACATCCTGCTATCCCAAATTTGACTAATTTATAGGCCAGCTTAGTCAAAATTTGCCTTCCCACTTTTAATTCTAAAACTGAATATACTGTTTCAACAATGTCATTACATTTTAGAAACACAATCACCATCAGACTAGGTGATCCTGGTTTTATAAAGTGGCTCCAGATAGAAAATAGTGGTAGTGCCAGGCGTGGTGGTGCACACCCTGTAATCCCAGCACTCGGGAGGCTGAGGGAGGAGGATCGTGCGAGTGGAGTTCGAGGTCAGCCTGGGCTACAAAGTGAGCTCAAGGTCAGCCTGAACTGCATAGCAAGACCCTGTCTCAAAAAAAAAAAGAAAAAGAAAAAGAAAAAGAGAAAGAAAATAGTGGTAGTAAGACTCAAATTAGCTCCTATTAAATTGGTTTTATAGTATGGATTATAACTCTAATTAGTAATTTTGAAAGCCCATGCCTTAATGATACAAGGCTAGAAAATAGTTTAGTATAAGCAAGAACTACTGGGAACTTTTACCATTAAATCAGACATAACAGTCAGGGAAGCTACTCTTTACAATTTTTTTTTTCCTTACAGATTTTGGGACAAGAAGTCTTTATTGTAAGGGCTTCCCTCCCTTTCTCATCTCAAAACCTAAAAGCAAGAGAAACATTTAGAATTTTCATTTTTATATGACAATGTTTTGCAAAGATCTTCAAATGTTGTTTCAGGGCCCTTTTCAAAAATATTTCTAAAATAAGGGTATATTATTAAAATGTTTGATTCTCATGTAACAAAGACAAAATGGTATTTATTTACTTATTTTTGGTACTAGGAATCAAAGTCAGGACCTTGCACTTGCCAGGCAGGCACTCAGCTGCTGAGATACATCCCTGGCCCCGAAAAGCAGCTATGATTAAGTGAAGGAACTAAGCACATTTTTGCTCCTAGAGAATTATTTCTCAAAACAAGAGAAAACCATATTTAGTGCCTTATTTGCCAAGTAAACTTTGGGCTCAGGATGAAAGGAAAGGAGAACATGATATGCAGGTGACATGGGTAGCCACGTATATCAACAAAGAATTTATTTCACCACCAAAATCAAATTCAGAAAAGTCAAGGGATTTGGAATCTAGTTATTGGTTCTAGAACCTTGAATTTCAAATAGAATTCAACATATCATTTCTTTAATAACTGCCGTAGATAATAATTCAGTAACATTTTCTAGTAAGTTCAGTCTATCTACCTGTAAAAGTTATTTTTTAAATGTTATACTTTTAAAAATGTTGGTTTATCTTCAAAATACAGCAGTTTTTAGTAATCATTACTATTTTTACAGCATATGCCTTAGTGATGACAGATCAGTGTTGTCGCATTTGTGAGAAAGGACTGAGTGGTTCAGTCTCTCTCTCTGACAGGTCTCGCTGTGTAGCCCAGGTTGGCATTGAAATCACGGTGATCCTCCTGCCTCACTCTCCTGAGTGCTGGTGTTGCAGGTTATGTGCCACCACATCCAGTAAGTTTGTTGCTTTATCATGTCACACATTCTATCATTTGGGAAATTATACCATGCCTTTGAAAAACAGAACTCCTGTACTAACATCTGCTGAGAAACAAACGATCACCAGAAGCCTCAAAATTCTTAAAGATAAAGGACATTTTAAATAAGCCTTTAAAAGCTAAAAATACTGTTCACCAAATTGAGTGTCCTGTTGGTACTCCAAAAATAGAGCAATGGAGATCCATTAACTTGTCTGTCCTGGAAGTTAAACTCAACTGTACAATGAATGAGTTAAAAAGTTCAACTAGTTTTTTGTTAGAAGAAAAATATGGAATTTTAAATTTCTAAAACTAGAAAATTAGGAAGTAAACTCACAATCATTGACATAATTGGTTTCTTCTATACCTGGGCAAATAACCAAAAGAAATGTTATTATAATGATATTATAATAATATTATTATTTAAAACGGTTATTATAGAAGTAACTAAGTCTTAAGCAGTACTGACTTCTATCTCCCACTGATAGATACCTTTTTCTATCTAAAACCCCAATCACAGGGTTGAAAGAGTTCCAGGTAGGTTACAATAGCACAGCTGCCAGAACTGTGAAAACAGTCCAGTGACAATACTGTGAAGTCTTTCGGCCAGTATTAAAGTCTGCTAATTATGGTAAGGCAGTCAAAGAAAAATACCTTGGTTTTTGACCCTTTTTGTCTTAATTTTTTCTTTGCTACTTTAATTCTGTTAATCTTCAATAATATCAAAGGTTTATACCACCTGCACGGGTTAGGTTGTTCCTCTTCTGTGGTCTCTCAACACTTTTGTAAAGGCTACTTATCACTTAACTCTACAGCATTAAAAAGGATGGGTAGTCTCTGAGAATGTTCTAATGACTGGCTAAAGAAGGTTCTTTATGAGATAAAATTGCTCAACAAATTAAACCACGGAAGAATTAGAATCTTAAGACCCGTATGTAGTTCACTCTTTTTTTTTTTTTTGGTACCAGGAATGGAACTCAGGACTCATGCCAGGCAGGCGCTTGTGCCACTGAACTATATCACTGGCCCTTTTAGTTCACTCTTGAAGGACTTGGATGAAGGCCACTTATTTCTATTTCTCTGCCCTCTTTAACAAAGTTTATGCCCTTCAAAAACTGTTATAGAGAGAAAACTTTAACAAAATACTTATGAGTTGGTGAGTAGAGGTTTGGCTACCAGGTGTTTTTTGTCCCTGTGTCTAGCAGCTTCCTGGCTGATCCTGGCCTGTGACACTCTGGGCTGTGTACCTGAGCTTGCAGGCTAGGGTTGGCTTAGGGTTTCATAGCATCCTGAAGCAGCTCCTTGTCCTTACTCTGCAGAAATAAGTGGCACTAGTCCTGGCCAGACACTACTCTGTACATAACGCCATCACCATGAAGAATGCTAATGATGGGGCTGGGGATTTAGCTCAGCGGCAAAAAGCGCCTGCCTGGCAAGCGCAAGGTTGTGAGTTCGGTTCCGGTACCGGAGAAAAACAAAAACAAAAACAAGAAAAAAAGAATGCTAATGATGGCACTTCACTCACATCACTCCTACAGCCACGCTCTGGAGGCTGAAACTGACTCTCTCCAAGTGACAGTAGCCATGGGCAAGAAGAAAACACCAAGAGGTCAAAGATTCTATCTTTTGTGAAAGTTTATGGCTACAATCACCTCATGTCCATGAAGTACTTGGTGGGTATCTCCATGGGCAAAGTGTTGTCAACAAGGATGTGCTCAGATACCGCTCTCAAACACAAGACCTGATGAGACACTATGGTCAAGCTCAAAGAGATATTAGACCAGCAAGAACAAGTCGCTCTTCTAGAAGCTAGTTTCAGATAGTTTTTATTACATCATTAAAAACAAATTTTTATTTTGGTACCAGGAATTGAACTTAGGACCCTGCACTTGCGAGGCTGGCGTTTGTGCCACTGAACTATATTTCTGGGCCCCATTTTTTTTTTACAAGTATGTAAGATAGTCTATAAAT